TTATTATTACATTATAATATAGAATGAAATAATTATACAACTCACAATAATGCAGAATCAGTGGGAGCCCTGAGCTTGTTTTCCTGCAACTAATGCCGCCACTGATCTGACAGGAGGCAGAGCTCAGGCAGTGATGTGAGCAACGGGGAGTGACTGTAAATACAGATGAAGCCTCGCTCACTACCCTACTCACCTCCTACTGTGCGGCCTGGTTCCTAAAAGGCCACAGACCAGTACCGGTCAGCAGCCAGTGGTTGAGGACCACAGTGCTAAAATGTTTTTTCCAAAATATTATGATATTTACTATATATTTGTGTAACAGTTCTAATTTCCTTTGCATAGTGTTCGTGTTTTAGTTTGTCTGTAAACTGACATGCTTCACCTCTCCATTACTGGAATCACTTGATGGGTACTGACTTGACTCTTCTCTTAGAGTTTGGACATCCATGTACCATGTCCTACTCCCTTACTTTGGCCCCAGATATCCAGTCTGAATTGTCATCCCCCATATCCTTTACGTTCTTTTTGAAAAAGTTACAGGTAATATTTTTGACTTCAACACTTGAAAATAGTCATTGTTTACTCTGTGAAATTTCTGGACTTCAGTAATTCTGTTATGCTGAATTTGATAGACTGCATCCATTTGATGACTAAATGAATGTTCACATATCCCTATTTCAATCTACAGCAAAATTCTCAAGATCAAGAGATGCATGGATAGTATTGATAGAAGAGACTTCTGTTTCATTGACAATGGATGCTGTACTTATAGCTATCTTGTCATGTTCTGGCAAAGCAAATTAAGCTGTGGCATTATATAAGAACATCTGCCATCTTCCTTGTGAAACCCTCCTTGATCTTTGCAGTTGGAATTGTCTTCTGTTTCCTCTGTTGCCATATGCCACTCATTTGCACTTATTTACTCTATGAAACCCATTGACACTTATAATAATGTATCATCCATAAAAATTGCCCATGCTTTTATCATATGTTCCCTATAAAATTATGATTTATGTGATAACAGGGATTATGTTTTATATATTGTGGTAGTTGCACAGTATTTGAGAACTTATTCCTGCTTACTCAAAAATGTTATTTGAATGAATATATAAATTTATGTTAAAACCAATGTATATTTACTAAGGACCAGCATATGTAAAAGACATTGTGTTAAGTCCACAGCATATAAAATTATATTTCTTGCCCTAAAGGAACCTATAATTTGGTAAGAAAATGTACAAAGGATCATAGATGCAAAAAATAATCTTTGAAGATTTTATTTCACTTAACTTTATACCTTACTTGGAGAATGTTATCAGCCTTCCTGGAGCCTAATTGGTGCAAATTATGCATTTGTTTGACAGTAGCTTTTGTGTTTCTGAAAACATATTGTTAAAATAGAAAACATCTATGTGGCAGTTGAACTATGTTGAAATTTGAAATTTTTAGGTTCCATAATATATATCTTTACTTCCTTTACCAACATATAACAAACATGTTGTTTCCAGAGCAAACACACATGGCTCCCTCAAAGAAAAGGCAGAGTCACTCTATTTTATGGTCATCTGTTTGCTCATCAGATATAAGCAGATTAACAGTTAAAGGGACAATATTTCTGTCTATTGTGGTATTCCATCAGTTACCATCCCAATCTTTAGCAATGATTAGTCTCTCTTCTCCTCTTCTCACCCCTTCCATTTTTCAAGTTCTAAAATTCATGTCACCTCTAGAGACATTTTGGATAAGTTTAGGTATGATAATTTTTGAAGTCACTATATAGCAATCCACAATGTCAAGTATCCAAAAGTATTCTTTCAGAAGTCACTTTGCCAACTATAATACATCAGAAACTTCCATTTCAACCAGTGTCCAACAATTCTCCTTGTCAAAGCTATAGGATGTTATGCAAAAATGAAACAGAACAAATTTCCATGCTTGTCTCTTTAAAAAATTCATCTTGTCCATTTTTCTTATTTTTTATTGTCCATTTTAATAAAACATCATGCTTTATTTTGCAGTATTGTAACAAAATTATTTTAACCTACTTTGAGAAATGTGGAAAGGTTGCCACTTTATCCAATGACTATAAAATGATCTGCATTGATGAGTACTGCCAAACTAGAGACAAAAATTCTACATGTGACACGTATTCAGAATTGTCCCGCCTCTGTGCCTCAGATGGTCCTGGCACCTTTGAATCTTGGAGAAACGATTTCAGTGTGGTCTGCGGTAGGTTTTTACCTTTACTGTAGATTACAAATGAGTACATCTCTATAGCTCTTTAAAGTTAAGCTACAGTTCAATGTAATCTCAAATGATTCTAAGCTCCAGGAGGGATCTTAGAGATCGTGTCTTGTCTCTCACATACACTTATGAGGAAACCGAGGCTTTTTTTGGTGACGCGACTTGCCCGACATCGCAGTGCTTTGTGTTGTGATCTTAATTAGGAATTTTGTAGTCATTACAATCAGCAAAAGTCATGGGGAAAAGTGAGTGAATTCTGTAAAAAATAATTGGAAAATTTATCAAATGTATACTGATTAGTACTATGATTTTTTCCAAAAAGGTTGGTAAAACATAAATATGAGCTTCATGCAAATATAAATATATTTCCACTTATGCTGAGTTCAATCTTCATAATATCAATAGAGTATCAATTTTAACTTAAGATGAAATTAAATTATATACAATATACATTTCCTCCAAATTACATATTGTATCATAAAATAATGCATGGGAAAGTGACATAATTTACTTATATCTAGTATCTTTAAAGACTGACATATCTTGAAAATCAGACTCAATCCCATTTGAAAAGCTCCTCATTAGAATATTATGTATTTATCACATTCATTTCCCTCTAATTTCCACATATATATTTCTGTATTTTCCCAGAAAAACCTAGCTGCCCAGAACAACATATCTACAAAGAATGTGGACCCTCCAATCCTGCAACTTGTTCTAATGTGGCACCTTTTCAAGACAGTGAATGTGTGAGTGGCTGCACCTGCCCAGAAGGTAATACACCTGTGAGAGTTTTTACACTAACACAGCTGAAAACAAAGTGGGACTCAAGTCTTGCCAGAGAGGTGACTTATTTGTAACAAGATATTTCAACAATTCAGCTGTTCCTAATCTATCCTCCTAGCAAACTGCAGAGGAAGGTTAGATGAATTTTAAAGCTAATGTGTATTTCTGTCTCTATACTACATGAGGGCTCTGGTATTCCACAGAATATTCTCTAGTCCTACATTAAGCTCAATAGGACTGTGCTCTGTGGAGCAGTAACTAAGGCTCAGAAAATTATCCTCTTGCCAGTTCTCAAATGATGAGTAATTTAACAAGAAATTACCATTTTCAGTGCATGTATACACTTGAAGACCTATTTTAAGTGATTTTACAATATGCTGCTGTACAATTTACTGATGTTTATATAGTTTTGAGATTAACCTTATATAATGTGTTCTAGGTTATCTATTGGATGATATTGGAGTGAAAGGAAAATGTGTATTGAAGGCTGAATGTCCCTGTGAATCCAATGGAAAAGTGTATCAGTCAGGAGAAGTCCGAGAAGGTCCTTGTGGTTCCCAGTGGTATGTGTGTGCTTTTTGTTCACATTTTGCTGATGGTGAAATAATATCAATTTTTAAATCTAACTTGAAAGAAATTCCTAAGCTAACCCTTAAAATAAATTTTTCAGAAATAAAGAGCAATCTCATTGCATATTCTGTGTTGCTGTTATAACTTTCTTTTTTTGAGGAAGGCTTACTGTGTTTTTTATTAAAAGTATGAGCTTTCTGTATATCTTTAAAAATAATGTTATTCACTAACCAAAATAGTGTTTTGAATAGTAAACCACTTGGTAGTTGCAAATATAGAGCAAAGCATAGTACAAGAGTTTGGTTACAATACCGAAAAAATAGTGATGCTAATTCTGCCAAGAATGTTTAGTAAAGTGTATAGTCAGAAGCAACCTAACATTTTTCAAATAATTTTCCTGTGCAGCTAGATTTGTGAAGATAGGTAATATCTGGAATAAATTTTAATGTGCCAAAAGTTAGTGTAGGTTATTTCTCTATTAATTGAATAGTCAACGTTGAGTCTTCCTTCTGAGTTCAACAAGGATCTACTGACCCGTGAGATTTCTCCATTCTTCATTATGATTTTTCTGTAAAACTCCAAATTGCTGCAAGAGTACAAAGGACTTTTCAAGAAATGTATTATGTCCTTGTGCAGAAATAATCTGGCCCAATGAAAAAAATCTATTTTATCGATAAATAAAAAATATTTAGTTTTTGTGGTAATAGCATATTAATAACTATGAATAACAATAGCTATGATTTATTGAGTATCTATAATAATACTGTCCAAGAGAAATATAATGTAGGCCACAAATGTGATCCACATATATAATTAAACATTTTTTAGTTGACATAGTTTAAAGAAGTAAAAAGAAGCAATCAGGTAGAATTAATTATGTATTTTATATAATCCAATATCTTTAAAATATTATTTCAAGATAAAATAAATATAAAATAAAGTTAATGAGAGATTTTACAATTTTTTTTCACACCGTCTTCAAAAATATGTGTTTAATTTAAATTTACAGCAGATCTCAATTTGCGCTAACTACATTTCAGAAGCTCAATGGCTATATGTCTCTGTACTGTACTGGACAGGCAAGTCTACAATGTGGCTTGTAGCGGGTGTTTTAATGCTATTAATGAAATGTGTTCCATTTAAGCAAACTCCTAAAATCCAGCTTATGGTTTTTATATGTTTAATTCACGTGGAGTTTATCATTTTAGTGAATAGAATTCAAATCTGTTTCCCAGGATGGAGCATAATGGCCTGATCATAGCTCACTGCAGCCTCAAACTCCTGGGCTCAAGCAATCCTCCCTCCCCTCTCAGCCTCCTGAGTAGCTGGTACTCAGGTACCTCCGGAGTAGCTGGTACCACCACATCTGGCTAATTTAAAAAATTTTTTAGACATGGGATCTCGCTACATTGCCCAGGCTGGTCTTGAACTCCTGGCATCAAGTGATGTACCCACCTCAGCCTCCCAAAGTGCTGAGATTACAGGCGTGAGCCACCATGCCTGACCTAGAATTAAAGCCTTTTAAAATACCAGTATACTACCATAATGAGCTATTTTATCACAGTGGAGATGTTGAGTGGGGAATTATGATGATCTAATAAAGCTTAACCAAATGTTATTATTTTTTAGTGTTGTGATATTTATTTTCACCATAGAGAAACACAATTGACAACCTTTAACATAACTCTTGAATTTTAACAGCACGTGCCAAGAAGCAAAGTGGTCTTGCACTGAAGCATTATGTCCTGGAAGATGTAAGGTGGAAGGAAGTTCACTTACCACCTTTGATGGTATTAAATACAACCATCCTGGAAACTGTTACTTCTTGGCCATTCACGTATGTAATCACCTACAATACTAGAAAAGACTAAAATAGACACCAGGCTATTTCTCAACCAATTAAAACACAGTCTTCACCTTCAGTTACTATTTAAAGAAATGAAAACCAAATAGCCCTCCAATTAATGGTTATATATTTCAGTATCTGTTTTCCATCACATATTGGCATCGATGGTATTACCTGTCAATATTAAATCAATATTACCTGTACTCCTTGGAAATTCCTTGCAAAAAACATCTTAACAAATGAAACCCTCTTCATTTACTAACAATCATCTAAATATACTGGAAAAT